TATATATATATATATAGTATATATATATATTATATATATATATATATATATATATATATATATATATATAAGTAAATTCAATTAGAATACTGATTTTTAAATATTGAGAGTTGATTTACCTTCCATAGATATGTTTTGACCAAGGTTCCACTTGATTGGGGAATCTAGTGGCAAGATCACTTAATCCAATCAGCATATTTGATCGGATTCCGGGATATGGCGATCGCTCCAATATGGTAATCAGAAGTTGCAGAGATTTTTCGCAAAATTCAGAGCTTACTGTCATCATTTTACTGAGCGCGAGTGAACCTGCAGCTTGCACGTTCTCATTATTATATTTGGTACTAGGATACTGACACACATCCAATACAAGTGGACTGTAAATAATTCCTCATACATTACAAATATATAATTATCTAAATGTTATTCTTGATATCTGAATACATACACAAATTTCGTAAGTAAGCCATCCCCAGTGATGATTTCATGTTCAAGTACATCGTTCATGAATTCTGCTTCGGCGTCATCTATTGCACCCTCTAAAGCTTCTTCCCCGTTATCCTCAGTGAGTATTGAAGTATCTCGAGATATTCGAGAATTTCGAGATACTCGAGAAAATGCGTTTGCCGAGGTTAATGAATTCACCGACTTAGCTTTAATATCCGGCGTTGGAAGCACGCCTTTCGTTCGTTTCTTTTTCTTGCCCTGCATTTCTCGTAACATATTTCGACGTTTTAGTTCTTTGTAAATAGATATGTCTAGGTGAACTAACTGTCTGATGGCAACATGTCCAATTATATAAAGCAATCTGGAAAGTACAATGCTAGACACATCTGATACTTGATTCATCTCTTTATTTGTGAATTGACCCTTCTCAGTGATGCTCGATAATAATTCCTTTATTAATTTGTCAGGCTGATTTGCTAACTGAAAATAATGTAAAACAATCCGAATGATATTACAAATATATTTAATTCTTAGCTTCTTAAAAGCTCAAATACGACAATTGTCAAATGTATATTTGTTCTCTTTCTATAAACCAGAATCCATATTTTATGTATTTAATATGTAAAATAGAACATAATAAAAAAAAACATTAAAATTTTTAATAAAAATACATAGTAACATGAATAACATATATAGTAACGTAACAGTAAAAATAAATATATATTTTTTATTTTTATTTATAAAACAAAATTTATAAAATAATAGATATTTATACAAAATATAAATAAGAAAGTTTACTCAAAATAATTTTTTATATATAAGTATCTACTGTTTTATAAATTATTTTATAAATAAAAGAATTTACAAACATAAAATTATAATATTTTAAACTAAAATGCAAAGAATTGACTTGGAATTTACTATTTAAGAGTTAAGTGCAACAATTTTACTCACATGATATATAACATTAAGTGCATCCGTCGTGAAAGAAATATAGGCATTCTCTTCCGTGTTGGTGAAAAAGTCTATTAATAATATCATGATTTTTTTAAATATCTCATGATTATTAGGATACCTATGTACATATAGAAATAAGAAAATGTTTTTTAAGTACAATTTTCCATAAAATTCTGATTATTTTCATTGCTTTTAATAAACGCTACCTTAGAGGTAATTTATCGATGTCCTTACTGTTTTGTTTTATCTTTAATAACGTTCTGCAGGTATCTCGCGCTAAAAGAAGATCGTCTTTTGCGCGTGGGCCTAATCCAATTTTCATTAAGACATCTAGATTATCTGTAACTATGTTAGATTTCGCCTGCGCTATCATCGTTATTATCATTAATGCGGTTCTGCTGTCTATTGGCGATGTGTCTGGATATTTCATAGAGAACTTTTCCCATAACACCTGCATAATATATTCATCATAATTAGAATATATTTTAAACTTGTCTTTAAATATTTAATCCATAAATAATTAAAATATTTATAATCTATTATGAAATGCAATATTAAAAATATTTACTTGCAACAATTCGTTGTTTAAGTCTCCGTTTTCGTACCATGTCGCTATTAAAAGAGTCAAAGCTGAGCTCTGTCCAGGCTTTAATTCTTTCAACAATTCAATAAGACGATTCGCACGAGCAATGGCTATTTGACGAGTCGATCGTTTATCACTATTTATGTCAAGATAGATTTGTTTATATACTATGGCGATGTTATTGCGTACAGATTGATCACGATGGAATACTTGAAACAATGCTTCGCGCATAGAACTAGCCGCACCAGTTACTCCGAATTGGAAAGCAGTTCCTAAAAATGTGCACGATTCAACAGCATCTCCAACACATGTGGAAAACAATAATTTCTCTGCCATCGGTATTGCTTTCTCTAATTCGGTCGCGAACTTGAGACATTTCTGTAAGAAAAATATATAATAATAACAGTAAAATGTAAAAGAATCGCAAATTCATTTTTATGTCACATACATTCAAGTAATTTATAACGCGATTTCGCAATCTTAATTCTTCTTCGTTCTTATTGTCTTGTTCTGATTTTGCTGCATCATTTAAATCTTCATTTTTGTCATCTGCCAATTTGTTTTCTGATTCTATAAAGATTTTCAACAAAAAAGCGAATAAACATTCCTCTTTCGCTGAGATGGATAGATTTTTCATTTCAGGAGCTTCCTTCAATTTTGTACATGTTTTCCACAAATATGTCACTGCTTCAGTGACTTTTTGATTTAATAATAATTGTCTCACGTGCTCAAACGCGTCATCTGGATCGATATTCTCATCTTGTTCTACATCTATAAAGAAATTTATTTTGTAATTTATATTTTACAAGTAAAACAATAAAGATTAATTCGTTGACAAGAAATAATAAGAACTATTCATAACACGAACTATCTGTGCCTTCTGCTTCATCATTTTTCAGAACTTGCTTTATTGCTGCCTTTACGTCTGACTGTAAATTGACCCAAAGCTCGAATCTCTGTTGATTGCCACGTCCACTAGAGCTTACGATTTGAGTTTTTAATTCTTGTAATTTTATGGTCTCTTTTTCCAATGATTTGGTAATTTCAACACAATTTAACTACAATGATAGATATGTACAGATTATGTACATGTCAAAAAAATAATATGTACAGATTATGTACATGTCAAAAAAATAATTTAATTGTAAATAAAATTGGAAATATAATTTTTTAATTGTGTATACCTTGCCAGCGAAAGGATTGCTTTGTAACAAGGTACGCAGCAATAGAAGAGCTTGCTTGCGGACATTTGCACTTTTATCTTCCAGTCGTAATGCAGTGCTGGCTAAAAGCTTTCCATATCTTGCTAATGGCACAGCACCTTCACAGCATAAATCTTGCCAGATATGAAGAACTTTTGATCTCACATGAGCATTACAATCCAACATGTGTTCTTCTAAATTATCCAGACATTCATCACGTTGCTCTTTCTTTGTCTCTGTGAGATCTTCGCCAGTTAGTGCTTTTTTTATCACAGCACCCAAAATTCCAATTACACAATTTCTCATTGTATAAAACTATTAAAAAAGTTTTTAAAAAGTTTTTACTTCAATTAAAGCATTTATAACTGTAACTATATAATTATATTATCATCTTTTTTTATTAAATAATTGTTTAACTAATAGCAAATGAATTATGAAAACATACCTCACTTGATAGATAATCTGTAATTTCATCAAGAATAGGAATTATGAGATTAGGTTGCAAAATCGCGATATTCTCAAGAAATACGGATGTGTTGCGACTATCTGTTTCGCTAATTTCTCTTTGTCCGATTTCATTCATCACTTCTTTTACCAAACCGTTACAGCCGCATTCAGTGACCATGTGTACCACACCAGTTGCTATAGGTATCGCCAGTGCATCATACAACTTCACCAACTATGGCATTATAAATATATTATGAATATTTTTAAGACAATAAAAATTATCAATAATTTAGATCAACATAGATACCTGAACGATTCTCACAACACAAGTTATTCCATGATTGTACTTTTTAATCAAAGTTCCTAGAATCTGTTTATAATAAAAAATATAGCATTTGAATGTAATAGAATTTATGTATATGCAAGTATAATTGGTAATACCTCAAATATAGTTTGTCTCATATGCTTTTGCTTAGTATCCTTACTCTGCTCTAATATCTTATAACATATCTGTGCTAAAGTCCTGCAAGTATTATGTTGTATTTTAAAATTAATTTTCTATCATTGGTAAACTGGAGATTTGAGAACAGTTGATTCTTTTATTGTAAATTCTAAGATAATTGGTAAATAATGGGATAGTATCTCTACCTAAAAAAAACTTCTATGATAATAAAAACTTGCTATTAAAGATTTTACAAATATATCAAAATTTTTCTAAATTTTAATATAGGTCAGAGCAATGTAAAACATTACAATGAATTTTTAAAGATCCAAGGTTGGTAGATGTTAAATTACAGTCTGTTGAAAGAGTCGATATAATTATATAATTATATTATAGCTTACATGACGAAAGAATTATCGACAATAGGTGGCCTCCAAATTTTATGCAATGGTACCTGTAACCATCGATACAAAACTTCCAATGCTTTTTGCCTAATTTCCTCCCATTCTTCTTCAATATCTGACTTTGCAGGTTTCTTACGCTAAAAAATTATGTCTTTTAATCATATAATTTCATAATATACAATAATACAGATAAATTTTATACCTTTCCAATATTAATCTCATTACTACTTTTTATTTGCTCTTCTATATGACAGATAAACCATGAAAATAAATATGCTAACATATTGTTAATACATAAATATGTTTTCCTATCTTCATCATCTGTAATATCCTTGCCATGGTCAAATATTTTTTCCAGATCATCCACAAGTATCTCTAAAGCTGAAAGTTATACATATATGATTCTAGATAAAGTAGTTTATCTGTTTTAATACAATTGCATCTGTTGCAAAACATAAAGCTGTTGTTTATATAACTACAATTTCTTGCAAGAAATATTACCCTTATGGATTCTACTGAAGGAACGCAGGCAGACTTCAAGCTCAATTTTATCACCATGAACAACAATAGAAAAAAATGTATCAAAATGATCCAAAATAAAATGTGCACCATTTGCCTGCAATTCCGATCGCGTACCTGTAATATAAATTTAATAGTTATAGAAGCTTCTGTTGCAACTGTTATTTAAATAATTTAAATATGCTGCTATAGAAAAAAATAATTCACATGTATATATATATATATATATTAATATATTCATATGTGTCAATATTTTGTTAAAAGTAAAGAATTTGAAATAGAACTTACTATCGAGAGCCTGTGATATCATTCGTAAAGGAGTAATCTCTTTAACGAAATACTGCCCAGCGTGCGACGTCAAAAGTTCATCTTTCTCCGACTCAGTCACAAAATTCTTCACCATTTTAATGTGATTTCGAATTCAACTATCAATACAAATCAATCACGCACTAACAGAAAAAATGAAATTCTTATTCTATCACTTTCATAATAAATATATATAAATAATTCATTACTTGTTACGTTAAACAAATAAAAAATATCTTTTTTCTTCCTCTTTATAATGAATTTTTGAGTTAACCAAAATCATACTAAATCGAAACATCAGAACGTTAACCAACGGAAAACTTGCTCCATCATTTTTAAATTCAATGCTGCCAACGCGCTAAAAAGTTCTGGGGTGAGTTCAGAAATAACAACCGAGTGCACTCAAGTCAATTAAATATAAAATACCCAATTTAGGACGGTATTCATATCAGTTCTTATATTTAAGAACACCTTGGGAG